TCTAACTTGTCATTTTGTGTGTTGTTCTCTTCGCTAATTTCCGTGTGTGTTATTTTGTGTGTGGTCTTTTTTCCTGCTGCTAACAAAAAAGGGGGCCCATTCTCCAGGTCCTCGCACCCTATCAATGGGTGTCTACCCCATTCAAAGCATTAATTCGTGTATCCTAGCCCAACAGGATGTAAGTTTCGATGTCTTGAAAATGTGTACGGTGCTGTTCTCTCGAAAATGTTCACTAGCCCTGTTCGACAAATTTTGTCTACATTTCAGAACATATTACTTGGGATTTCGCAATTGTTTCCTGGGTTGTACCGTTTTTGTGAACAGCACTGTACATGATGAGATGAAATGTAGATGTTTTCCACTCGAAATATTTTTCGATGTTTCATTACCTAGGTGTCGTGATATCCTGTTGATTTTCATACACGAGTAGATACTGAAATTTGCAGATCCAGCATTTTTATCCTGATGTTAATTTAACCTGTGATTTAACATGGATGGCCTTATAGAAGTATCTGGAGAACGAAACAACAGAACATTCTGAAAATCAGGATGCTTTGATAATTGAACATTCTCTATTCGTCTAAAATGTATTCATCGATACAGTGTTGCCACTTCTATCAGAAACAACTAGCAACTTCGTTATTTCAAATGGAGCACCCTGTATTTTATTGCATTTTCAGATTCTTCCTAAAGAGCTGATTTTATCAATGCACACACTTGGGGTCTAGCAGGAATGATTACAGAGATATAGGGTGTTCAAAATCGAGATTTTTCAATTTTGGGATTTTTTTGCGTCGAAACTATTCATTATCGATCAAAACGGTTTACATGTCCCCTATCTTAACTTTCGATCCACTATCTACTGACATTTGATTGGAACAGATACAGAGTGATCAGAATTCTGAATCTTGAAGCACCCTGTATTTTTTTCAATTAAATTCCAGTAGATAGTGAATCAAAAGTTAAAATAGGGACATGTACGCCGTTTTGATCAATAATGAATAGTTTCGACACAAAAAAATACTAAAATTGAAAAATTTAGATTTTGCTTACCCTATATCTGTGTAATCATTTCTGCATGACCCCAAATATGATACATTGATGAAATCAGCTCCTCAGGAAGAATCTAAAAATGCGATAAAATACAGGGTGTTCCATTTGAAATAACAAAGTTGCTAGTTGTTTCTGATAGAAGTGGCAACACTGTATCAATGAAAACATTTTAGACGAATAGAGAATGTTCAATTATCGAAGAATCCCAATTTTCAGAATTTTCTGTCTTTTCGTTCTTCAGATACTTCTAATAGGCCATCCACCGTGACCCACCCTGTATATATAAATCATTCAGTGATGGTGTGTACTACTTTGCTGCCTAGTAAAACAAATAACTATAGTATCATTACGTAGCATTTCAATCAATCACAGCCAACCAAATTACTATTTCGAAGAATTATCATTATATCTGTTGAAGCAACTTCATCATACACGTAGAAGATTTCAATTTTTAAGTGGATTGAGAAATAAAATATACAGGGGTGTTGCCATTAGAAGTGGGCCACACTGTATGTCCTCAGGAAATACTGTAAATTTTTTCCAATCGGAATCTGCAGACTTCATACCACATTCTGATTTTTCATTTCATTTTAATTATTCCAGACCCCATCCTACCTATATCTTGCCAAGTGGTTCCCATTCCCGAATCCAGTGTTTGGCGACAAAGACCTCCATAACAGGAAACTGGTAGAAAAAAAAACAACTCGCACCTTACACTCTTCGATAATTTCCATAATTTGCTATACAGGGTAGTCCAGTTTATAGTAGCATAATTTCAAGAATCGACAAAAGACCTTATCTTGGAAAGAAAAGTTTCAATGAACATTGGTCGTTAAACGATTTATTCACGAGATACTGGGCGTTGAAGTTCAAGAAATATGTGATATTCCTTCAATTATCGAAAAATCTTATACTTGACGAGCATTCTAGGTATTCTAGCAGCATACTCAGTATCAAGAACCAAATGGATCTGTAGTATTTTTCAGTTGATTTGTATTCCGATGACGCGGTTAGGGATGATCAGTTTTGTGTTTGCTAAAAGAGTTTGTGGCAGCATAATAGTTATTTATGATATAAGTGCTAAAAGCGATATTTCTTACACTATTTTATCTACTCGGACAACATTGCACTCTGCCCTGATACATGCTTCACAAAAATAAATTCTGTTACCTCTACCAATGAGACTGGTCATGGTTATTATAATTGTAGTTTCACTAATTATACGTTTAATTGAATAAACACTTCATTTTGAATTGAACACAACAGTGTCAAAAAATGGTATTTTAGACTCTGACAGCATGCGTCAAAAATTAAACTGTTATTAAAGTTAGTAGAAAATCTTCTTTATACATTCAAATAACCGTTTAGATTACTGGAAAAGCATTAATGGCACATAATTCTGGGATTCTGACCATATGTCAGTCACCTTCAACACAGTTTCACCATTACAGTATACAGGATGTTCAATAACAAAACTTCTATGTTTATTTTCAATATCAACGTCATATATCCCGGAACCGAAATGTTCTACGACCAATGTTCATTTACACACGTTTCTTCCCAAAATGAGGTTCGATAGTTGCGCCACCAATTTTCAATATGTCATGGGACACCCTGTATATGTTTCCTTCTACTCTACTCTGAATGGTATTCTGATTGCAAATCTGTAATTTTCTTTCACATAAAAAAGATTCAATTTCTGTCAGGTTTCATTTAAAAAAAATGTGTGATGGATCTCTGCGAATTGCAATAACATAACTGAAACATAAAAAGCAACAAGTTGAAATTTTATTTTTCCGGGTTTAAAATATATTTATATTTTTAAACATTAGTGACAGATTGCACATAGTTGTTATCAGAATGCCATTTTGAGTCAACAAATCTACAGTTACTGTCGTCGTCTATGCATTATATCTTCCTATGGAAGTGTGACTACGTGAAAATGTAGTAAATGACCAAAAATCAATTTTTCCGGTTTCTCAATTTTTTTCCTTACACGATTTTGAACATAATATTCATAATGAAAGTAAAATGAAAAAATTGACTTAATTGTAAACGATTTGAATCTACGATAATGTTCAACGTCTTTTTTCAAAGAAAGAATTACCAATAACCAGTTGCTTTCAATTATAATTCACCGAAAGAACAATAATTTCTGTCACGACGGTGTATTCAGCAAAAGAAACTAAAGAGTCATTTTGTATTCAAATTTCATACTCATATCTGTTTGAATTAATATACGTGTTCTTCATATACATACACATTGTTTTTCATCCATTTGTCATTCTATTATCATAGGAAATGCTTGTTTTGCTTCCATTATCAACTGCACGCTATGAAATTAACAGTTTTTTTAGCTTGTCCTATCGTCTTTTTTATTCGTATTATGAGTTATGAGTTGAGTAGAAATTATTTACCACGCATGCAAATTTTTTTTAGAACTTAACAGGAATGTTTCGCCGAATGGACTCGCTCAATTATTCTATCCAATCTTGATATACAAGAAAATTTCATAAATCCATTTTCAGCCAATTAGAAGGTTCCTCTTTGTTTACGTTGCTTATAGCAACGGAAGATTACCTCAATGGAATTAATAAAGTAATAATAATGAAACGCCTTATATCTATGTCACTCAGTTTCATTTGAAACTAGGTATTAGACATGTAATATCAGATGTTATGGTTGTAAACGAATTACTGTTTTCAAGATTCCTGAAATTTTAGAAATAAACCTTAGTTAATAAGTAAAATTAACTTCTATTGTGAAAATATAGTGCATCATATTTAGCTAAACTCATCGGGAATATGTTTTTTAAACTTTTATTTGAATTTAAAACTATAAAGACATTGGATTTCAGATTAGTAATATATGTTTCTTACATTTTGGTAATAAAAACGGGTCATACCTAAGTAACAAATTCTATTTGACATCTACGCAGAATAGGTCGTAGGTTTCATCTTCTCATCATATTAAAAGCAACTCCAAGTTGTGAAATTTTCTTACCGAATCTACCACGTAGCAGAATTATTTGACGATTTTTTTTCTCGGTTCACTCATGTTTTTGTTGATAGAAAATTATCCCGAGTCGAACAATCGTGACCTTGAAAAAAATTATAAGTAATGATTTTGCTTCCAGGGAGATTATTAGTGAATTTGTCTTTAATTATGACACAAATTTATTCCTGTGAAAAATTGAGCGACAAAATTCTCTTCTCCTCTATCCTCGACATATTTTTTCCGAATATTATTATTTTTAAACACATTAGCATGTCTCCTTTGGTTTTATCATCATTGGGATTTGTTGTTGAATCCAAATGGGGCACCTAAATCTTTTGCTTCTTTTTTTTTAAGCCATCAATTTGAAGCAAGCGTGACGAAAAGAAAACAATTTATTATTTCGTTTCAATTGATCTTTTTTATTGGGATTAGTTTTACATCCTCTCAGATAATAAATACATAGAGCTATTTTTGACCTTTCAAACATTTGCTCTGAGATTTTATTTACTTACTTCAAAGTAATTCCTCTCTGTTATCTTTGCTAACAAAACAGGGAAAGTTACCTGATATATTCGGGATATGTACAGATCAGATTTTTCTGACTAACAAACAATTGAATAGAACAGATTAAACTGTCGGAGTGTGAAAAAAATTGCTAAAGTGTTCTTACGACACATCTGATAAATTCGAGTACTTATTAATTATCATGATTGTAATTATTCATAATGCCTTGTTCAAAACTATTGTTTATGTTTGGCTATCGATAAATGATATGTTCTGTGTGGTATTTGTTACTAACTCCACACGCCACTTAACGAATTTTAATTCAAAGTCTTTGCTCTGACTAGGAGTTCAATTCTCTGGTATTTCATGTTTTCTTCCGGTCACCTTTGCTTCAAATCGTTTCAATGATTTCGGAAAACACTGATTTGATCTTCGACTTGATTCAGCTCCTCACTCTGTGGTCGTGGCTACCTGTGAGAATTACGATGTACCAGCCGATTTTACTGTACACAACCGAAGAACACGGATGTTCGCTGACAACGTTCTACGTCAGGGTGGAACAGCACGAACCTACCCTACTCATGATAAAAACGTGCAACAACGAGGTAAGATTTTTTTTTAGAATTTAGCATACTCCACAGAGGAAGGCATTTTGTATTATTGTATTATTGCATCGACTCGTATAAACGAATACTGATACAAGTGTTTCATTCCTGAATGCCTATTGATTTCGATTTAGCCAGGCCACGCTAGACACCTACAGACCGGTTTCGAGCTCTTTGACTCTCATCAGTGCAGAGCAGTCTCCAGCCAGCAGACCGCCGACTAAGCGTCTGTCGGTCTTTACCACCCTGTATCTCAAAAGTTAGGACTTTTAGGTCATACGTTCACATGAAACTTTCTTCTTAGAATGGGCCAAAGAATCGCCTCCCCAAATATTGACATTCAATTAGGAAACACCCTGTATGTTGTGTCTTATTGCATGATATGATGAATTTGTGTTAATAATAATCATATTAATTCACACTAGAGGAGATTTCGTCCAGTGAACGTGACAACACAGGAATGTGGACGTTGTCTTGTCAGTTCTCAGCGTTTAGTACAGTATTGTCAAGTCTTTATCCTAGCCAACATTTACATGATGTTTTGATATACAGAATAATAAATATTTTAACCAAATTTCGAATGAATTCGTTCCAATACTAGGAATTTCATCATGTGTCTCGGCACTATACAGGGTGAAACATCTTCAGGAATTCACTTTTAAGTTGCCGTAATTTCATCAAAAGCAATTTTTTCGATGAATGATGAATGTTTCCTAATATTTTGGCCAGTGAACTTTATATCATTTAGGGACAGTCTATGTAGGTAAAATGAGCACTCAAAATTAGCAAGTTCAAACCATGATGTCCATCTATTCAATGTTTTTCCAAAGCTATAATTTGTTCTTATAACGTAGTGACTATTTCATAAATATCAGTAGCGAACTGCAAAATCCTGAAAAATGCAATGAAATAATGATATGCAAGAAACAATTTATAACAGAAAACCAGTCACATATATTTTCCAAAACATTTTTTGCGTTAATTTGTTTATTTTTTTCATTTCCTACATACATTTATTACAAAGAGAAGTTATATTTCGTAGGTGCAAAAAAATACACAGATCAAATGAGTATTCATGTAATGTGTTTCGATACAGTTCAAACTGTTTATGTGAAACAATGTTTACATTTTGTTATCGTTAGCGCAAACTATTTACACTTTTAATTATGTCTCTCCGGATACCAGTACCGTGCATTATTTAATTGTTACTTTTTCACCAAACCACATCCCACACGAGATGATAACAATGTTTGAAAACACTGTTTGCACGCCGAAAAATACTTCACCTGCCTTTCGACAATTTATGTTTGGAGTCCCGCTCATATCTGTTCACCCACGTCCCTCGTGGTTTATTCCTCAGACTACATGATTAAATAGATAGACACCGCCATTCATTCATAAATCGGGAAAAATTATATGCCAAGCATTCTAATCGCCAATGCAGGGGCGGATTAAATGTCGACAGCGCCCTAGGCAAGCATCACATCGGCGCCCCTCTGGTGGTCATAAGATATTATAAATCATAACTACTAACTATGCTACTAATATACGTGTTCAGGGTGAAGAAAGTAAAAGGGATAGTTATTGTGAATATCGGAAATTTCACGGGCCGCACCAACGTTTCCCGTTCCTCCAACGCACATTTTCGACGACGACGCGCCATTTTGTAATCTCGCGCCCTAGGCACGTGCCTAGTTTGCCTTATGGATAATACGGCACTGCGCCAATGATGAATTGATCAATGCATTGGGGAATGGTGGTGATAACTGCGGAATCATGGGCAGAAAATCAAGGGAATGCCATCGACTTATCCAAATCTAAGGAAAGGCAACATCGCAAAAATGGACCATGATGTGTTTCATTTCAACACAGAAAAGTTTTATGATTATAACTATACAGTTTCAATATAGATGGATGTCAGACGTGTCTTTATGAAAGACGATGTGTTTACTTTACGACTAGAGACTCATCTAAAGTGAAATATTTACAGCGATATACAGGGTATATCTGAATAACACCGAAAAAATTCATTGTGATATTTTATTCAGGAAATAGGGTTCATATAAACATGTGTCCTAACTTGCTTCGTTTTCGAGATACAGGGTATTGATATTTCCATGAAGTCTTATTTTATTCATTTCTCAATTGTCTTTCCATCAATTTAGATAAAACGTTGTGGTTTAGTTGATAGTAATATGGAGCTTCCTGTAGTGCAATTAGATTCGAAATAATATTTCCAGTGGCGTCACAGTGGGTAAATTTATCGATATTCATGGTGAATGTCATTGTACGCCACCGGTTTTTCTGTGATTCATATTTTTATTAGGTTGAGCTATTGAAATGACAACTTTTTTATTCTCTGTGTAATTTTTGTATCTAGCTTAGTTTTTGAGGAAACAATAAAAATTCGATATGACTCCAAATTTTAATGAAGGTGTTTTCAACACTTCCATTGAGATTACTAAATAACCCCAATTAGAATCATTTCGAAAGTTTGGGGCTTTCTCAGTCTCCATCCATACTGAATTTTGGCACCATGAAAGCTTATACAGGGGGGTTATAAATAAAAACAATTACTATTTACAACTTCAACATCCTGTATTTCAAAAACGGAGCAAGTTAGGACACATGTTTATATTAACTTTATTTGCTAGAATATCAAAAGGAATCATCTCTTGAATTTTTTCGGTGTTATTTAGATACACCCTGTATAGAGGTTCAATGTGTCATTCATAAAGTCGGCATCATATGGGAAAAACTTTTATTAATGACTTATTTTGAAATTTGAGTTGGATGTTAAGTTTTGCTTCAAAAAAGATGAAAAATGGCCTACTCAATCGGGGTCACGTGACTTTCGCTACTTGTCAAAAGTGACATTTCTTCAAATTAATCGCTGAAAGTAGGCTTATTTGTTCGAATATCGGAAAAGTTTACTTGAGAAAGTTGTTTCTATTTAAATTTTACATATGTGACTGGGATTTTATCTTTCTATTACATTTTTTAGATTTCGATATTTTTTTAAAATTTTCGAAATTTCTGTAATATTAAAAAAATTGTAAATTCGATAAAACTACTTCATACCAGTAGTTTCGTCATGCTACTAACTTTCAATCATTAATTATCACTAATTATCGACAAAAATATGATTTTCTTCAGAAAATGATAATCTCCGCTTCAAAATTCTGTTATGTTTGAGTCGGGCATTTAGAAACGAAATTCATTCAGATTTATTTTTTCAGTACTGAAAAGATCAGTTTAATTGAATTTTGTTTCTAAATGCTTGACGATATATCAACTTTGCATCAAACATAACAGAATTTGGAAGCGGGTATTATCATTTTCTAAAGAAAATCATATTTCCGTCCATAATCAGTGATAATAAGTAATTGAAAGTAAGTAGCATGAAAAAGCTACTGGCATGAAGTAGTTTCGTGGAATTAACAATTCTCCAAATATTACAGAAATTTCGAAAAATTAAAAGAAAAATCAAAATCTAAAAGTTGCAATAGAAAGATCAAATTCGGGAAGCATGTGTAAAATTGAAATAGAAACAACTTTTTCAAGTGAACTTTTTCGATATTCGAACAAATAAGCCTACTTTCAGCGATTAATTTGAAAAAATGTCACTTTTGACATGTAGCGAAAGTCACGTGACCCTGATTGAGTAGGCCATTTTCCATCTTTTTTGAAGCAAAACTTAACGTCCAACTCGAATTCCAAAATGAGGCATTAATAAAAGTTTTTCCCATATGATGCCGACTTTATGAATGACACTGTACATACATACATCTGAAGTCTAAATTGGTATTTACAATAGCTGCAATAATACAGTATACTAGGGTGGCCATCACCCCACACTTTGGTAGTATCATTCGGTTAATTTTCTCTAATCCTTGAAGTCTAAAAATCATCATTAGTGTGTTGAGAAATATGATACTGAATCACATGTTATGATTTCACCAATCCGAATTAGCGACATTATTCAATATTCAATGTTTCATGTTGTTCAATGAATTACAATTTCATATTAGGAATCGCAACATGAAACATCTTCTGGCTGGATTTTTCAGGTGTTCGGAGCTTATTGTTCGTCTCGTTGGGGCGAGAGGAACGTCAAGGACGACAGGGGAAATAGGCAGGCCTATTTCGGCACGGGCGAGACGTTCCTGTTCTCCTTGTATCCGGAAAGGGCCAAGTATCCTTGGGTGGGGATGGAGGGCGACAAGGTCCAACATGGCGCCGAGCTGTTCATGGCTGCCGATTCCAAGATGATCACTATAGGTGGCGGGTGAGTAGCGACCGATAACACTTCCAAAAAGCAATTTCAATTGCCATTTAGAAGAATCATCTTGATTGAGGAACTCTAAATTGCTTAGGATCAACAATAAAAAATGTATAGCTTCATTTACATAGACATCGCGATTCATTCATTGATCACACGAGGGTATTCCATCGGTAAATTCAACTATTATAAAAAATTGCGATTTTTATTCATGTATGTATGTGCAATAATTAACAGGCTCTTACGTATATTGTACCATGATATTGGGGAAGTTTCCTTCAGATAAATTTTTATGAAGTAAGTTTGAAACTCATCAGTTTTATGTCCACGCTGTACAGAATGGCGAAGTCCAAGTCGTTTTTTTTTTCAAAATAAAAATTTTCGGGGCGGCAAACTGTGACATCTAGTCTGAACATAGTTAGATACTGAAGAATATAGCTAGCGAATAAAAAAAATAGAAGAAGACGACAACTTGGCGTCGTTGTTGATTGAATCATGAAAAATAACTATGATCAACTAACTACAAAACAACTATCAACTGTAGACATAGGCTAAATTATTTATAATACTCGACGATGGGGCTTTCCAAGTACATCATTGGAATGGTGAAGGAGCCAGGTTCATTCTTCGTTTATTATTTTTGAAGTGAAATTTGATCTTATGAAAAAATACGTAAATTTTTACAAACTTCAGAGTGAGATAGAAACCTCAATATTGGAAACTTCCCCATTATTATGCTTCACTTTGTAAGGGTCTAGTGGAGATATTTGATATTTTCAATATTTGAAATGTCAGTTAGAATGTTTGTTGATTTTTTTTCTCATAAAATGAGTATTTTACGTATTTTTGATCAGTCATTAGTTGACTATTCCAGTGTATTAGTTCCTCTTCATGCTAGAACCATCGAATTCTGAGTAGTTGTGTTGCTCAATTTTATCATAGCTGCCATCATAGTCATGGATTTAGATAGTGACTTTATGGCAGTTATAGTCCAAGAGCCGACTGCAAATTTCGTCCGTCATCTGATAGCGAAATCATATATGTCCCAGAGGCATGTAAAGAAAAACATTGTATTTTATCGAACGGCACCTGTGTCAATCTCTATCTTGAGCAAAATAATTCAAAAACGGCACTTTCTTGTGCAGTAATTATGCCTCAATTTCGCGATTTGATCACAAGATGAAAATTATGCCATCAAATACCATTTGCTGCCATTATTCCGGACATAATTACTTCCCTTCATGTGATGACGAATTGAAACAAAAAGCAAATAAAAGGGTATAATGTCCCCTTTGAGAATATCCAAACGTGCCGCGATTCAAACTGATCTAAGTTAGTGGCAGAGCGTCAATATTTCTGAGAATATTTCGTCCCTCTCGGGGATGAGGGAACATTTTGAGACAATTGATTTTTTATTGAGAATTTATGAATTATTGAATTCACAAAGAGAGAAACTCAAAGTCATTACCACAACTAGTTCATAAAATGAACGACAATGGTAGATAACGAGAGGAAAACAACTACTTTCCTGGCTATATGCCACGCAGAACATTGCATTACATCCTCACGAAACCTATGCGATAGTTCGTATAAACGAATAAAATCGCAAGTGTTTCCTTCCTGAACGCTGAGCTGCGCTTAAGTGGTTCAGGAACACTGACTACCTGCAGACCGGTTTCGAGCTCTTGGCTCTCATCAGTACAGGGCTGTCCCAGATAGCTTCTTGACCGCTATCTGGTGCGAACCTGACCCAACGTAAACGCATAGGAAGGAAACACTTGCGATTTTATTCGTTTATACGAACTATCGCATAGGTTTCGGGAGGATGTAATGCAATGTTCTGCGTGGCATATAGCCAGGAAAGTAGTTGTTTTCCTCTAGTTATCTACCATTGTCGTTCATTTTATGAACTAGTTGTGGTTAGAGTCCCTGTATATACCTTAGACAAGAGTCCGGACACAAAACCTGACAGCCGTTGGGGTTTTTAATATTTTGTTTCATTTGGTTTGCCCACCTGACAATGTGACGAAACACCATAGTCGTCCTGCCCGCTTTTTTTAATTATTTCGAATTTCTGTCACTGTCACTTTGAAATTTTATGGCCGCCATTTAGCATTTCAAATTATCTCAATGTCCTGCTGCGTACATTATTGCGATAATCCATTAGAAAAGGGATTCAAGTTATTCAATTTTTCGAATGATCCTTTAAAGATAATGTCATGGAAGAATGCAATGAAACGTCCAGAATGGAAAATTGATTTCATGGAATCCGCAATATGTGAGATAAATATTCAAATTTACTTGTAAAAACGGTACAAAATAGATGAATGTTAGGCCCATTTTGATAGAGATTCTCTAAAGCTGAAGGATTTCAAAGTGAAAGAGTCTGCTGTGCCGTCAATTTATAAAACAGAGACGTTCAAAAAAAGAGTTCCGTCGTCATCGTATTGGGAATTACTGAATGATACGATCGCAGAGAAAGAAAATGAGAATGAGATGATGCGGAAAGAAATTGAAAGTTTGAAATCAAAACTAGAAGATTTAGAGAAATTGCAATGTGCTATGTCATCAGTCCACGGTGTTTTTAATTCAGATCAAATTCAAAATTTACAGGTGTTTGTAGACTGCAGTAAGAGGTGGGAAACCGACACAATTAATATTATATTGAAACAATTATCTATTTTTTTATATCCCAACAGAAAACAACTATATTTTCTTGACTATATGTGATACTACGTAGAGCACTTGAATTATCTTTCTTATATCTAATGAAGTGAAGAAATATCTGATGACGAAAATTTGCAATAGCCATCCATCTCAGGAATTGATTATGAAAATTATCGATTCGAAATTTGAACACCCTGTTGTTCATTATTTGAATATCTAATAGTTATTCTAGTTGAAATAGCCCTATTTCTCACTTCCACCTACGGCTATAAACGGTTTGACAAATAATATAACCCTCAAAATTGTTTCTGACAATCATTGATACTAGGGGAATTGAAAAGACAGAGCTCGATATATATGTCTTATTCCTTTATTCAATCATCAATGCATTTTTTGAAAACAGAAAAGGACAGAAGTATAGCTGTGTCCAGACTCTTGTCTAAGGTATATACAGGGACTCTAGTTGTGGTAATGACTTTGAGTTTCTCTCTTTGTGACCAATGCATTCCACTTTGAGTATTTGGCTTTTTCCCTAGTTGAATTATTGAATTATTAAATAAATGATATTTCTGAAGTTCCCAATCGTATTTCAACACATGGCAACTGTGCTATGGTCTGCCCCTAATTACGAAATCGTGACGTCAGTTTTTACTCGCGGTAAATTTCTAGCCGTTTGAAGCTAACCGTGGCATTATTGATCATTGTAGCACCTTAAAATCGACTGAAGAATTCTTAAAAATTGTAATTTGAAAGGTATTTGGGTGGTGATTCTTTTTGAAAAATAGAAAAAATTTCTTGTATGCTGGTCCTGTCACCGGCTACACCTCAGCCTCCTGGGGTTTTTATGCATTCCAGTTTAGTTTACAGCACCCATTCCGTAGCTTTTATTCCCTGTACCAGTCTGTACAGGTTCTTCACCGGTTGGTAGCAGAGCAAAGAGAGTCCGAAATCACATAGGGCGTTACCTGTTGGGAGTTCCAAATCATGATCTGGAATTCCAGATCGTGAGTTGGAATTCTGCTTTTTGACAAAATGTTGACATGTAAACCCCTATGTGAGTTGGTATTGCATACATCTGTCTGTTATGAAATGCCGAGCGTACGAAATCATATAGGGCTTTACTTGTTCAGGTTTCCAAATCAAGATTTGGAAACCCCAATAGGTGAAACCATAGAGAAACAAATAAAAAAGAGAGTGGTCAAACCTGCAGTAAAAGTTGGCACCACGTTTAGAGCGACACACTTGGCAACTGGGTGGAACTAGTTACTATGATCGATAAAACAGATTCTCTAGTTACCGATTGAGATAAGGCGGTTTATTTCAAACCTTCACTTTCAAAATTTGTATTAATCGAGAAAATTACAAAAAAAAATTAAAAAACTTAAAAAAATATATTTTATTCCATCCAAGACTAGAGAACTACATATCATGAAACAATAAGTAAATAAAACTCTGAAAAAAAAACAAAATAAGATATAAACTCTTCAGCCTAATAATGACTAGACATCATACAAAAAGGAAACAAACAAAATTGTCCTGCTACATATGTTGCCTGGGTGTCATATTCTGAGTTATAAAACACAATATCGAAATTTGGAATAACCAATTCATTCAACTCATTGACAAGAACTGATGATGGCTCTGGCTCCACTGGGCAAATTAAAAATTAGTTGAGATTATCCAATTTGGTAGTCACATCTTCTTCACAATTTTTGTTGGCATTTTTAGGTATCATCAACTTATTCAACACTTGCTTGCACACTTGAATTTATATGCACGGGGTCTTGACATAAACAAACATAAAACTGAAATCAGTTAACATGCGTTCTTCAAGAATACCTACTTCAATTCGATAAAATGTATGTTTAATTCAGTTCCGTTCATATTTCGGTTAGTTCAGAATGAAAGAATATCACTTATGTTTCTATAAAAATGTACCTACGTGCAACCTACATGAATATTATCAATTTCACCTTGTCAATAATAGAAATAAACTCGGAAATAAAGTAAAATGAATGTGAAAGAGAAACTCGAATTTCAGTATCAACATCAACTCGGAAAATAAACAATATCTGTTGTATTCCATTGATCTGTTCCTTCGTTCTAAAATGGAACTTGCTAAAGTTGATGTTTTTCCATAGTTGTCTCTGTTCATAGCATGATATAAACAGAGAAAGTCATAGAAAAAAAAAATTAAGTTTAACCAGTAGAGCAAACACATACGAACAGGCCTTATACTGTCGTGCTGTCGAATGTCGAAATTCAAAATGTTTCATGTCATGACTCGTTTGTCTATTGCTAACAGCGCCTCCATACGCGACTGGGTTGCGCACAAACTTGATGGTCAAAATTTCCTATCATGATCTGGAATTCCCAACAGGTAACGGTATGTGATTTAGAACTCTCTTTGCTCTGCTACTGCTGTTGTATTCTTCGGGAGTCAGCCTAGGCTACCCAAATATTTGTCTTTTGCGATCCAATGCCTCGCAACATTAGTCATTGGTATCGTTCGATAAAATACAATGTGTTTACATGCCTTTGGAACATATAACATTTCGTTATCGATGACGAAATCGAAATTTGCAACCGGCTTTCCTACTATTATTGGTGTTTGATTAACAGGGAGGGTCAAGCGATATGGATGGACGAAAACATCAGATTCGGCAAAACCGACTCTTGTTCCACCTTCAACAATCCACCACTAGTACCGGGACGCGATTTCGAAATACGAGTACTAGAAGTGTACGGTTTCGCGACAGATCAACTGAGCTAGACAACGATCCTCATCGAACAAAATTTTCTAATTTATATAAAATTATATAATATTATATATCTGTATGTTTTCACGTAGAAAATGTATGTGTAGATTACATTTCGGTATGTCTTCGCGGAAGACGTACCTACGGATCATCTGCATTCCACCAGTGCTTAAGCCAATTTCGCGCTTTGAGTGTTGCATAATTGTGATTCGGAAGTGGGATTTTTTGGCCCGCTTCTGAAACTCGGCCGTTCGAATCCGAACAAATCTAACCTCAAAATCGGGGGTCCGAGATGACTCCGAGGTCTCCGGATGACATGTACTAGATCTAGTCGTTGCAATAGCGCATTTTAGAGTTTATGTTTGAATTTAAACATCGTTTATTGTATATTTTAAATTATATATTATTCTAGTTATTTTGTATATATTACATGACTTAGTTGTATATTTTATGGTTTTGTGAAGGTGATCTGGAGAATTCTTGGTATTTTTCGGGTCGTCCTGTTACAACTTTGACGTTGCTTTGTGCATTATGTTGTGCCAAAATTAGTTTTGGGCATCAGGAGTATTATTTAGATTTTTTTGTGGATCACAGTATTTAGAGTCGTCTTATCTTTTTATTATTATTTAGCCAAATTGTGAAGAGTTTATTTCATTGACTGATTTTTTTTTATCCAATCACTAAATGTTTCTTATGGTAACATGTGTTCTGAAGTTTAGACTTTCCAAATTAGAATTTGAGATTGTAATTTGTAATCTTCCACTTTGCTCATTTTTGCATATCATTTAGAAACATTACATTTGTTCAACTCTGGCATCACAGAATTGTAAGTTTTCTACACTGTTATAATCATGAACCATTACAATACATCACAAATTGAAAAAAAAAAAAGTTCCAGTAGGCAAGAACAAGTGATCTCAATTTCCTGTAGTATTAGAACGATTTTTGAGGAAAAATGTCTATAGTGAAGTGTTATTACACTCAAAGTTGAAGAAAAAGAGTTTGTTCCAGAAATTATGTTGCTGTTAAGTTTGTTGAATTGTGTGATTCTTAATTTTTTGTTGATTTTACTATTATTAGCAGATCTAGATTTTATTCTATTTAAAATGTTATCTAAACATGAGTACAAAAACATACATATTTGAATGTATTTCGTCAATATTATAGTGTTATTTACAAAATCAACAGAAAAAGTGTTATATAAAGTTGATTACCTTATTTCATGATTGGAGCAGATATAAAAAATTGTGTGTGAAAGTTTTGAATACAATTTTTGCAATTTGATGAATTCCTTCTCATTCTTTCTTTTATTTTTGTTTCTGCAAACTGAAAATCAGGCGGCCATGTCAATTATTTCTTCAGTGCATTTTAGAATTTTCATTTTGAAAACCTTGTCGTGAAATAAGCGAGTTTGAAATAAGTTCCTTGATGTCAAATAGCAGTGTTTAGAATGTGATGTTTTTATTATTATTATTAGTATTCCAGCGATAGAATTTCTTATCATCAATATGCCATCACTCTGTTTTATCCCAACAGCACGTTTGTACATTTTTCGAATTAAGCTTTTTATTGTGTATGTATTATACAGAAATATATAATAGCTATGTAAAAATATTTAAGTTAGCAAATCCTTCATATTTATTCTTCAGATTCAGGCACCACTTGAAATCGCATGGAAAAAATTGTATGCTATTCAAATTTTGCATGATACAAATATGCCAGTGCTTCAAGTCATTGAAATTATCACAATATATACATGAGTAAAAAAACCCAAGACTGCTCACGTCTCGGTAATCTCAGGTTTTCTATAAATATTCTACATAATTTTCTTCCAAAAATGGCCATAGCTTTTAGGGCTATAAAATTTTGGGATTTTTGACTTTGACATTGACCTCATTTTGAGAGTGAAAATGTTAGCACACATTGGTGGCACTTATTTTTTTACTGAAAACAATTCATAATGATTTTCCAAAAAAGTTTTCTTGACGCCATGGGTGTTATTTTAATTGGTTTTCAAGTATTATTTTTGCTGTAGGATTTCAACTTTCTTGTTATTAAAATATGAAAAAAAAAGATTCTTTCTGGGTAGATTATTTCCCAATTTCGATTCCACAAAATTACCCTAGCCCTATTGAAAAATGTATTCCAGGGAAGAGTAAGATATTATTTTTGACTTGTCTGGCAAAGATTCTCGGACATTGCCAAATTTTCCCAATTTCGGTTTCAAGTGTTGCCGAACGTATCTGCAACCATTTGAATATTTTTTCGTTATTCATGGAATAAGCAATAAATAACTGATGTGATAATTCGGCTGAGGTCTGTATCAGTATCTGAGAATTCTTATCCTCCTAGTGTGTCTCGATCTCAGCAAGAAAAGGAAATAGTGAAAATAGCGTTTCAATTTTTTTCAGCTTGTATCCAAGTGTTGAAAAATCCTGACTGTTTTACTTGTAGTTACCGGTCTTTGTCCTTTGTACTGATGTATCTAATGTATTATTATTATTATTATCGTTGTTAGTGTTTATTCAATCTCATAAATGTCTTGATATTATGTCATGTTTTTTACTGATCCCGCAATATCAGAAAGTAAGTATATACCGCGTGTCAACGAATCTATTGAGACAAGCCATAACTACTAGAATTCAGTACATCAAAATGAAATTCTTCGCATATTTTTTACTTCCCGAATTTTAATGGAACACCACCCTGTAACATTTTTGAATTTCCCAGATCATTCCATTCATTTCAAAATCCACGTTTTCAATTGGTTGAAGTATCTGTGTACATAATCAAAAACATGCTTTTGTTTTTGTATTTCGCTTCCTCATTGGTAGTTTGATCAAATATAAAACGAAATGACATAGAAAATACTTACATGCAGCAAGCTATCATTGACATGGATGTAATAACATTTTCATATTCAGGGATAAATAGCACTAAACATTAAACTTCAGACAAAATGGTGATAGGCACTGAATTTTAATTTGTATCAAAGAATCTAAAGTATGATCGGTATTCAAACGAACATTTTCCATATCAACCTAACCTCTAACAAGTTGACACCAACGTCTAGCTGAATCCATCAAATATTGCTAGCACAGCCTTCTTTAAAGTATAGGAGGCTGTGTTGCTAGCGACTCCGGCCAATGACGAGACGAGACGCGCGACAATTAGGTGCGTCCTGTCTCTAGTGGCTTGTCAACTACTACACCCAGTTCCAAAAAAAGTGACGCACTTGATATTTGACCTATCTTCTTAAAAAAAAAAAAAAAAAAAATTAGGTAAAAATTTTTTCAAAGCCTCCTTGATGGTGGTGGAATAACTCGAACCATGATTTATTCTTAATTTTTGACTCACCCTGTGTGTTAATTGTTTGTTTTTTCTATTCATTGAGTTATCTCTAAAATTTTCCGAATTACAGCTTTTTTTCTGAATTCTTGCAGATTTCTAACTTTCTGAATTTATAAGCTGATACCAATAATTTTAAAAAACATTTTTATCAAACACAAAATTATAAATTGGGATGACTGCTTAATACAGTGTATTGCCTCCTCAAGCAACTCTAAGAACTTCTAATCTACGAGGCATACTGGAAATTGAGTTGCTTATCGTTTCCATTGGTATACGATCCCATTATTCCACTAATGCATCTGCCATTTCTGCGAGACTTACCGGAGACCTCTCGCGAGAACGTACCCTTCTCCCTAATTCATTTCACAAATGTTCTATAGGATTCATATCGGGGCTTCTCGCAGGCCATTGTAATGTGGTAATACCAGTAGCTTCTAGGAAGTTTCGCACTATTGGTGCGGTGTGTGGTCGGGCATTATCCTGCATCAATATAAAATTATTGCCCACTAACTCTGCATAAGGTCTGCTCTAAAATGTCAATGTAAATTTGGGCATTCATCGACTGCCTCACCGGAAAAACATGAAGGGGTGTCTTTCCATTCATTGAAATCCCTCCCCACACCATAACGGACCCACCATTAAAACTTTCGCATTCTGTTATTAAATTTTGATTAAACCATTCACCAGTTCTTCTCCACACTCATCCGTTCTGAAAAATTCCACTGTCCATAATTTTCAAAAAAAATTTCTTCTAGCAGCACGATGTTCGGGCAATAATTTGGGACCTTTTGCAGGTCTCCTAGCCTTTAAATTAACTTCTTTTAGACGTCTACATACCGTCTGCTTACTTACTGCAACATCACGAATTTGGCGAAGATCTTGCTGAGCATTTACCGCAGTATTTGATCGATTCCGTAAAATCCGCAATCTCAAGAAGCGATCATCTCTTGGAGAAGTTTTTCGGGGGCGACCAGAACCGACCCTCCGAGCGGTGCATCCTGTTTGTTCGTAGGTACTTGCGGATTGCTCTACGAGCAGTTGCTTCATGAACTCCCACTGCACGAGAGGCGTAACGTTTACTACGCCCATCGTTTACTAACGCAACTGATCTTGCTGCTTGTTCAGGATTTATTTGAGGCGTTTTATGTAATTTTAGTCAATAAAACAAGACACTTAATCAATGACACAACGACTAATGGTCAAATATGGAGGCATACAACAAATTAGTTGCTATGGCAACGGCATTTGTTTCTATAAGGACAATGTGATCCTTCCAGCGTACAACCCAATCAATTTTGAGTACACTGATCCTTCAATAAATTTAATTTGTGGGATAAGCGTAAGTTATCAGCAAAAAAGCTGTAATTCGGAAAGTTTTAGAGATAAATCAATGAATAAAAAACAAAAGGCTCGCAAAAAAAGCCCTTTCGTAAAGGGTCATCACTCAATTACACACAGGGTGAGTAAAAAATTAAAAATAAATCATGGTTCGAACTATTCCACCAATCAAGGAGGCTTTGAAAAAATGTTCACCTCCATATTTTATTTCAAAGACAAATGCATTACCTACCAACAAATAAAAAAAAAATCGGCCTACCATTTTTTTTTTTTTTTTTTAGAAGATAGGTCAAATATCAAGTGCGTCACTTTTCTTGGAACTGAGTGTAGATAGCAATCGATGTATCGGCTCGTATAGTTAGTTGCATAAACGACTGCAAATGAAAATATGAAATGTAATTATAGTTTTATTCATGAAATAATGAGTGAAATAATACAACTCGTTTCACTGATGGTTATCGGAAATCCCTACTCTTTTTTGAAACAAATTATGTTCCTTTTAGGACACCATATCGCGAGTGTGGTTGCCAAGCAACATAATTTGTTCATCAATACACTTGTTGTGTTAGTACATAGGACAATTCTGGATCAGAATATGACTATTTCTGAAAATGTCATATTCTGTTCCCAAATTGTCCCAGAAATTTAAAAATGTTACAATATACAGGGTGTTCCATTGAAATATTAAAAACCGGTTATTTCGGTGAAACCGGAATAAGTGACTGGGAAGTCAAAAAAATGCTAAAACTTTCCTCTTTACATACCATATTATAACCTTATGACATTTTATTTTGATACACCCAATATTCTAGAAGTTATGGCTTGTCTAATAAATTCGTTGACACCCGGTGTGAAAACGGATTTTCTTGTGTTTTTTTCAAGAAGAGACAAAGATTCATATTGACCGTCATAGCTGGAATCGTTCTGACTGGTTTAAAAATGTGTCCTTATCGAAAGTTGCTGCTGACTAATTTGAAAATAATCTAAGTCTTGGCATATTTATAGGGTGTCCCATATTATTTAGCAACAACTCATGAGTAGATAACAACTTCAAGGCCTATAAATTCGGTTAATTTTCGAAAAATTAGTGATTCTGACAGATGCTATATTTGTCATTGTCATGGTACTTGCCCTGAGAATGCATTCCTTCCTATTTGAAATTAGAGAACAACATAGTATAGCTTAAAATTTTCAAATATATTTCAATATTTACAAATTAGTTTACAATATCAATATGTACAACTTGATTGAGAAGTTCCAAGGAAAGAACTAGACAAATATAAATAATTTTAATATGAATATAATAAGAACATTAATAAAATATTTTAATGATGAGAAGGAGATAGCTAAATGTTGGTTTCAACATCTACCCATCCAGTATGTAATAATTCTGAACATATTTATATCAGAAATGTAATTCGCTCAGCGAATTTTAGTAAATTAAGTGAACCATTTCGTATTTTTTTTGTTATTTGTAAAAATTGCCGGCACCTGACGAACAATAAAAATAATACCTGTGAGAAAATTGTTATCAAAGTGAGTCAACTTCGAATCCAATATAACTTCACTTTAAGAAGAAATATAAATAAAAAAAGAATAAATAAAATGCTAAACCCTAAACATATATTATACTGACTGTAAAAATGTATAATTATTATAATCCAGAAATACTAAACAAAAATGATTTGTTATAATACAGTAGGCTATATTGCACAATCAACTTTTGCCAACAACATAATATACATTGACCAGCAAAATTGATGTTCCACCTAAAAAATTTAAATTAATTTTTTTTCAGGAATCTAATATAATTTCAATGATGAATTTTGAATTGTTCTTTCACACTCTGGTAACGATACTATGCTAAAGATTATTATTCAAAATGTAGTTTCATATTCATATTTTGATGAATATTCACAAAAGAACCAGAGCAACAGCAAATAAAAATTATAAATTACAACTAAGTCATCAATTTTCGTTGATTTGCATGTTCATAATTTGAATTGGCCATTGTGCAGTCTAGATCTCTATCATTTGCTAAACTGAATTTCAGATAAAAATCAGTAGCATGGCGAGATTTTCAAAATGTAAACATAGAATTTAGAGAAAAGATCATCAAAATAAACTCAAGATTCATAAAAAAATATTCAAGCTAGAAGTTAGTTTCATGTTATGCATTAAAATTTCTGGTCCCTGTATCCTCATCAGTTATTGCTGGTTCAAATCAAAATACCTAGATTTTCTTTTTTGTTTCTGAATATAACCTATAATTTGTTCGAAAATTACATTGACTGCTTCAGCAATTTATTTCTATTAAATCCAAAGCAGCAAAAAGCCTGAAAACGAAGTAAAATTTAGAGAAATGGATACAAAAGTTTTAAAATTCCAAGAGATATGAATGTATTCTTGGTTGCATAGTAATATCTCGTGGCTCTAAATCATTGTTGAATACCCTGTACAATGTACAGTCAGATGCTATCACCGCCCATGTGCCACATGTTCATTGCCATCTGACTGTACAGGGTGGGCCAAATTGGACACTTTTAAAGGAAAAGTCCTATTCCCGTACAAGATAGAAAAAAACTGATGTCTGTGCCATTGATCTATTTACATGACAAACTCGAAGGTGAAAACCGCATATCGATAAAGGGCTTTCACGCTAGGTTGGAAGTTGCGCAATACTTGGTAACAATGTCGTGCCAAAACTGCAAAAATACTAGTAGTCCAGTCATTATATCCAAATAACGGACCTTACCCGTGAATAATTTTTTAGTGTTTTTTTTTTCATAGGTGTCTCGGGGGGTCACTGGGAGTGTAAATTCAAAATGGCGACCAAATCAAGCTTTTGCGTATGTTCGAAAACTTTTTTTTTCGTTTAAAAACGGTTTTTCTTGAATAACTCGGCCATTTTTGATTCTACAGAAAAAGTTTGGGGACAGAAATTGTAGTAAATTTGGCTCTCTACAAGTTTGGTCCTTACAATTTTTTTGATATGATCGATATTTTGTAAATTAAACCTGAAAAAGCGACAGATTCGAAATATTTTCATTATCTCGTTTATTTTCAACTTTACGGCATAAATGAATAGAAACAAACTTGTACAGAATCAAATTTTGTCTCCACCTGTTTTTCCGAAAATCGATATTTTCGGAATTAAACCTAAAAAAAAACGACTCATTCGAAATATCATCATTTTCTCGTTTATTCTCAACTTTACACCATAAGTGAGAAGAAACAAACTTGTAGAGAATCAAATTTTGGACAAATTTGGTCTTTACCTGTTTTTCCGAAAATCGATATTTTCGGAATTTAACCAGAAAATATGTACCCATTCAGAAATATTCGCAATATCTCCTCTTTTTCAATTATGCAGGTGCAACGAATAGGGCGAAAGTTGTATACAATAGAATGAAAATATTTCGAATTTGTCGCTTTTTTCAGGTTGAATTTACAAAATATCGATCCTATCAGAAAAATTGTAAGGACCAAACTTGTAGAGAACCAAATTTACTACAATTTTTGTCCCCAAACTCTTTCTGTAGAATCAAAAATGGCCGAAATATAACCTCACCTATCAAATTTAAAGAAGGTGGAGCAGAAATATTAGAAGAACATAATAAAAATCATCATAACCTTAAACTAGGTATTAAATTTAATCACCGGCATCAGTTTTCTTCCATCTGGTTTGAGAATATGTAGGTCTTTCCCTTTAGAAGTGTCCAATTCGGCGCACTCTGTACATACATTGAACTTTGCTCACTCTGATAGTGCATAGGAAGGTTATTTATTGCAAATTTTCGCCCTAATTCTGAAATACAATTGACGCTTTCCGATATATAACTGAAAAAGGTTTAGTTTCCACATTGATGATCCTATGGAGTTTTTTCATACACTGAACGATTAAGAATCCGAAACAGTGCATGTAAATGACCTCAACTCAGTGGACTTGGCTTGTTTATGCATTGGACCCATACCAAGTCAAAATTTCTCCATACCAAGTCAAAACTTCAACATAATAACAAAAAATTTCGAGTTGATGAATCGATAGGTTCATTCGGGTTGCAATTTCAGAACTGTTTCAGAACGATTCACAAATTATGAAATCCCGAACGCGGCCGAAGAGAACCTCTGAGAACATAACCTCTAATCTAATAGTTTGGAACCTGTATCTTTATTGTAATAATATTCTGAAGCTTCAAACTCTCCTTTGAGTCTATTCACAATATCTCTGGAAGCCCTCTGTGGAGGAATGGTGAATATATTCCATCATAGCATTCATAGCTTGATTTTCAATATGTTTTGTCCCTTGTACCTACATGAATTTCGACACCCACCTGAAATGTTCAATGAATATAATGGAAAAGTATCCCTAACATAATCCTCCATTTTTCGCATTATCTAAATAAAGTTCGCTACAACAGACAGAATCGAACACTGAATGCAATGAGCATGCGCCAAGAATGATCCTAGAACGGTTCATGCTCAAGAGCAGGTACTGGTTTCGGATAGTTCTAGGACCGTCCCAGGACGATTCAGGAAAAACCCGAACGCGTAAAGAGTCAGTCCTAGAACAGTTCTACAAAACCCGAACGCGACCGATTCAACTGCCAAAACTCCTCACAGTTCTGGAACCGTAATAGTTCGAACCCGAATGAACCTGATATTTCCACTTATTTTTAGTTTGCAATAATTGCAATGGCTCTCCAGAGCCATCGTTTATGATTATTGTCAAAATTACCAATCAATCAATCCTCCCACTCTGAATCCGTGGACGCGTTCGACTTGTCGTCGTCGTCCTCGGAATGTATCACCTCGCTGCGCTTCGCCAGAGCCCTGGCCAATGCGCTGGCCAGGTCGTCGCATCTGGTCGCTGGTACGGGGCTGGGGGCCCCCTTCACGTCGCGCTCGTCCACCGGCCGCAGCTTGAAGCCCTGCCGGATCTCGCTCAGCAGCCCGCTGCGGGCGTCCTCTTGCGGCGGCGTTTGGGTCTTGTTGGTCTCCTCCACCGACTGAAATGAATTATTTATTGCCAAGAGGTTCATGCATGGAAGAGCAATGATATTTTTACACTGAAGGTGACTTCCCAATGCAGCCTTTTTGATTTTCGCGTCATGCAATCTGTATTGTTGACGCGTAATGGGCCTTTCCAGTGTTGTAAAATTTGAACCTTTTGTGCTATAATGTTATGAAAGGAAGTTGAAAACGTTAACCTGAACACATATTCATGGAGAAAATCGAACAACAAAAGAATTATTTAATATTGAAAATGCTATTTCAATAAATGCTACTGAGCTGTGATGTCAGTGTTGTGACCTTATTTTTATAAAAAAATAATCAGCACTTGCAAACGGCAGCTTTTCATCAGTAGGCACTATGGGTTCGTCTCATACTACTACATAATAGAGGCAACTATCAAGCAACTTCATGTTTACAATGTGATTATCTGCTCCATATACTGAAGTTAAAGTGTAGCTAAGATTTGTGACTGAATCTGATATTTGAGTGAAATAAATGACAAGTATACTTGAACTTTTGTTATTTATAAAAAATATTTATGCATGAATAACTACTCTGGTATGCAACTACTTCAAGTTTTGGTTATGTCAATTTAATGGAGTGATATGATAATCTGGATATTATGATAAAGGGTGTATCAATACTATAAATTAAAAAAATTGGAAGGTATGTACTGAAATTTTAAATGCTACAGTGTCTTCATGCAATTTGATTGGTTGGAGTTCTGACGGCTGGGAATCATTCCTCTGTTGCCAGATCTCTTAAAACCCCTGAATTGATCCTTTATGCATGATGGTGCAATGTAATGCAATTATTCGAAATTACTACTGCTGATCACATTCAAATTATTCTGAACTACAAAGTATTCCAATAGTTTCAAGATTAGCTAGGATGAAATGTGATGCAGGCATTAAACAGTAAGACGCTTTTTATACTTATACTTAGTTTGGTATTAGTTATGTTAAAATTTCGTTGACTAATTGTTATAATCAACAAATTGAACAGTGTTACTATATCTCAAGCAATCATTCCCGGACAATTTAATTGCTAATCTGGCAACTATGTCTACAAGAGAAAGAGATGGAGCAACTGGCGCTAACACAATGTTGCCAAGTTAAAAATACCTCGTTCTCCGCTCAACTTCACTGTTCTTATTTCCCAATATAATTGACAAGGCAGTGATGCTTGTTTTGGAATCAATAGAAATATGACCATTTAAGCAATTTAGTATTGATTGATTCAGAATTAGTTTATTTCCCTATTTGCCTATTTTCCCTATGGTCGATAAGTAAAAGTAGGTACATTAATAGGTAAGTACCAAAAATTGAAAGGACTTTACTGGAAGGGTTTTGAAACTGAATGTCATGAATATCTGCACTGTAATTCAATACAAAATGAGATTTCACTCACAATTTTGAATTATCCTCCAACAGAAATCAATCAACTAACTGAATTTGTAGGTAACTTTTTTTCCAATGCTGAAAAAGGAAAAAATGAAGCCATTCCTGTTATTGTGGAATGGGGTGTTTTTGTGCATATTATATAGAGGTTCAAAAGCATGAGGAACAATAATAAGCACGGCACTGTTCAAAATGATATTCGTCTTTGAATTGATATTTATGTGAATGGCACAACTAATAGCTGATATACAGGGTGTTTCATAATTGAATGTCAATATTTGGGGACGCAATTCTTGGGCCCATTCTAAGAAGAAAGTTTCATATGAACGTATGACCTAAACATCCTAACTTTTGAGATACAGGGTGGTAAAGTTCTCAAAAATTAATAGTTTTTTATTAATATCTGTAATACCACTTCAGATATTCTGATGAAATTTGGCATACATGTACTATGTATCAAGAGGCATCAGTTAGCGTACCACATTTTTTGTTGTTGCCACCAGTGGCGTTCGTATGGAATTTCACATACCTATTTTGGCAGACATTGATGGTACGCCACTGATTAATCTCCAAATTGAAATCATTCCTGAAATTCCCGATCATTTCTAAGCAAATTTGATCACTACAATTTTTTCAATCTGATGCACGGTTTTCGCTTAAAAATAAAAAGCTTTTCACTACATGATTATAGTAATATTGTTAATATGATAATATCACAATGCAGAGAAATAGTTTTTATTTTTAAGATCAAATTTCAGAAATACAATTCATAGTTCATGAACTTTGTATTCGTATTTGGTATTTTCGAATTATAACTTCTCATTGTAGTAGGCTATATTAATTTTCGAGAATTTTACCACCCTGTATCTCCAAAGTTGGGACGTTTAGGTCATACGTTCATATGAAACTTTCTTCTTAGAATGAGCCCAAGAATCGCCTCCTCGAATATTGACATTCAATTATGAAACACCCTGTATAGTGGTGGGGCCGTTTGAAATGAGATATGCTGTAGAATCAATGGTTAATATTGAATATTTTCTCATGAAACTTGGTACAGATCTATTGCAGAAGACGCCGATTCCTGTGGTGTACGCGGATTTTTCTAAAAAAAATCGCTAATATGAATTCTGGATTTTTCAGCCTCTGAATTTGATCTAGTAGGCCTTGGTTTTTAAAAAAAGTGGACGCTGCTCAGCTCCAAAATACACCTTACCTTCCTCTACATATAAAAAAAATCGTGAAAATCGCTCCACAATTATAAAATTTATGATGGTTGCCTGCTTTCAAAAGGGTCACTCTGTAGATAGATCAGTGTTGCCGTTTCAGAATTTCAATTTGTACTAGAAGTCATTCCGAAATTGTACTAAATAGGTGGGGCTCGGGGCACTCTTTCTCCCAGTTCTTTATTTATGCAATTTTAAAAGTCTGTAGCATAATAAAAATAGTAACTTTTCCATATCATATTATTTTTCTACACATTATTTTTATTGCACCCCTCATATTTTTAAACAAACATCCAAAGTATAATAAGACTAAGTTTCACACAGTAATATCTTGCTGCTCTGTGAAATTATTATGTGTTATGTGAATGTAACAGATTTCTCTAAAATAATGATGACATTGATTTCAACACCACAATAAAAAAAAATCAAGTGATATTTTCTTAGTAGTCTTTTAATAATCATGAAATTGTAATATGTCATGTAGTTTGTGTATGTAATGTGTATCCACATGCTAGTTATAGCTTAAGCATAGTGTAGGTCTTCCATTTTTTAATTGAAGATCATCAAAATCGACCCACCTTCAACGTAGTCCCATTCCTGATACTCTGCATCAACGCTGAATTCAAATCCACAACGTCACCGCCCCGCGGTACAGCCCTGGGAGTGCCCAGCGCCATCGGAGGCGGAGGGGGCGGAGCAACGTCCTCCCCGCCCACCGGCAACGGGGGCGGTGGTGGAGGAGGGGGCGGGCCAGCCGGAGCCACGCCCAGCGTGGGTACGCTCGGCGCGGGCGCCGGCTTTCTGGGCGGAGCGACCTCCATTCTCGGCTTCCTGGGCGTGGTCGCGTGGCCGTTCTTGTTCGGTATTGGCGGCGGAGGGGCGTTGCGGAAGTGCGGGGGGCGTGTCACGAGCGGCCCTCGGGGCGGGACCGCAGGGGGCGGGGCCACGTTGGGTGGTTGGTTGTCGGTCGCGGTCGAGTCTTGGACGAACGCTTCGCGGACATTGTTGCGGTTTATGAAGTCGTAGATGTATTCTCGAGTGCTTTTGTCCTGTAGTTGTTGTTCGGAAACTCCTGCCTGGATATACAAGGTTACAAGGTGGAAATGAGCAAGTGCGAAAAAAATCAGGGACGGATGCTTGGCATATTCTTTGAAAAAAAAAATGAAAGAGGAATATAAACAAACATGTGTCCTGAAACACAGAATCAAAGAATTTAAAAATTACACTTTATATGGGAATCAAAATGTATAACCATCTTGCAAGTAGCTACTAACTTCTCAATGATAACCTCTTCAAGAAATCTGTAAAAGAACTATTGTTGAGAAAATTTTACTACAGTATTCAGGTGTACTTCTTGGACAGAGATGATAATTGATTCAAATCCAGTACAGCGACTTTTGTGTTGAAGTTTCTAATTTTTCTGACTTATCCTATACATTGTTAAAATGTCCTAGAGGATCAATAAATATTATTATTATATACTTATTAAGAGCACCTACATTAAAAGCTAAATCACATTTGCATTGCAATGCCACTTGTATATTGACATTTGGAATCTAATTACATCAAAAGCAGCTCATGTTACTATTAACAAAACCACCAAGTTTGAATAAGGCAAAAAGAATTCTGTTCACAAAAATACATAACTTAGTTGTTAAAGTTAACTAGGAATATTTATGTTCTGATTCCTCAGCATATTCTCATGGTTTTTGACATATAACCATATAACCTTCCTTCACTTGTATGAATCACATGTACAGAAATATGTTATCTGAAAAACAAAGCATTTCTGAGAGAGAAAACAAAGTAACAAACTCCTCTGTTTTTGTACAGTTAATATGTATTTCATTCTGGTTTTCCAATTCATGGTGAAATTAAACTCATAGACTTTTGATAGGAATTTGTATGTTAGATGATCAATGTTCAATGATGATTAGTGTTTTCTGATAGAGCAGAAAAATGATTATCATATCTATCCTATCACAAGATTAAAATTCTTTTTTAGTAAAAAATAACATAGAAAGTTAATACTGGAAATATTGACATTACCAATTATACTGATAATGATTGTGATATCAACCCAATAAATGTGGTTTATGAGTTTGATGGTTTCATGACACATCATAAACATGGACTTTTATCAGTTCCTTTTTTGAACAATTGATATGGAAGGCAATTTGCAGAAGATAAAGCTTCTGAAATCAATAAAAAGTATGCATCATTTTTTATTTCAAGTTTTTGAATATGATATGAACTTATGGGATTTGAACCATTTATTCTATAAAAAAATAAATTCAATTAATGTGATAGAAATAATTATCCAGTGTGAAAGGGATTGAAGGAATCATCACACAATCTGAAAAGATTGATCTTGCCAGATTCTTCCTAATATTATTTTCCAAGATGTTAAGGTTAGGCATTTGATATTAGAAACTATGAAATCTGACCTTTTCAAAAAAGGCTCTCAGCTGTTCATTCTCAGTATTGATGTCAAATCCAGAAGAAGAACTCCATCCAATATGAGAAACATGGACAAAATTGCTGGGAATGCCAATGTCAGCCTTGGTGATATTCCTTTTGCGTTTTGCTTGCTTCTCTGCAGGATCCAGTGTTTTTTTGTTAGCAGAAAACTGCATGTGGGATGTTGGAGAAGGCAAAGTCTGACTCTGACTGATTTGCCTTGAGCGTTTATCCTCCCTTCTTTTCCTAGCATGAATCTTTTGACGAACAACATATAGTAGATCATTTGCCTCATCTATGTCAGCAAAATTGAAGGCAACCAAATAGTCTTTAGCTTCAAACATATGGAAGAATTTGGTACCTTCCAAGTAATCCATGTTATTGTACATCTCTTGTTCCCAGAGCTTTACATTACGTTTCAGGCAGAAAAATCTGAAGAAAAAATTCTTGCGGGTGTTGTCTTTGACAAAACACAGTACACCTAAGGCCAGAAAAATTCAGAACATCATATATATATCTATATTACAGTTTAGACTCTGTTTATACAGAAATGTTATCATGTTTTAATAGTCTTACCTGTAGCTTTTTTGATCCATTGTGAATGATTAGGTGGTTGAGTTGTGTATAACTGGACGACAGTAGAACACAAGGATTGGCACCGATTTCCCAACAATTTGAATAATTGAAGGTTTTCCTCATTTGTCAAAAGGCTAGATGAGTGGTTTTCTACCAATGGTGCCATTTTTTTCAGGAAAAACACCAGATGATCATTTGGAAACTATTGAATCCCAGTGTAGGAAGTTTGAACGATTTCAGTTATCAGGATAAGATTGTTAAATGATTTATCACCACAAAAAGTAGATAACCTAAATTGGTCATCGCTGCGCTGGTAAAATGAAAAAATGACAACTCGAAGAAATGACATTTGACATGTTTGGATTCACAGAATCACAGAACGTGAAGAGAACTTGACGTAGGCCAGTATTCACGTTGATCACTTAAATGTCAACCACTTTGGATCTCAAGAATTCAAATAACCACGACTTTCGATACTGTCATAACAAAATAAAGGTCGGGTTGTAAAAAAATACGTTTTTAAAACAATACTGTATTCGCAATGGAAACAACTTTTATAGAAACTTTTCACATCCATATAGTATTTAACATTGAAAAAATATAAAATATTTCAAAAACCCTGAACCCCTACGCGTCATACGTGGAAGCAGACACGTTCCCACCCTTGCCCGTCCAGTTGGTGTGTACGAATTTGCCTTCTTGTCCGAGCAGTTCGTACGTGTGGGCCCCAAAGTAGTCTCTTTGGGCTTGCAGCAAGTTTGCTGGCAAGCGTTCCAACCGATATCCGTCATAGAAAGCCAGCGCTGTAGCTAACGCGGGAGTGGGGATACCTAAAATCAGATAATTAAAATAAAAAGGACCGTCATCTATTAATAAAATGGCGTATGTCCCAAAGACACGTAAAAATATTCGGACTTGAATAAGTATAATCCACAGATTCTATAGATATCTGTCATTGTTAACAGAGAAACATAGGGGAAACATTGACGTCACTCCACGATAAAATGTATCCAAGAGCCTTGGAAATGAACATCATTACTCACCAATATTGACAGCAGTGGAAACTACGTTCCTCCATCCGGATTGTGCCTTGGTGATGGCATTCAAGAAGAAAGGGTCCAAGAGGAGAGAGCTCAAGTTGGGATCTTTGTCGAAGGCCTTCTTGATTTCGCCGAGGAAGACCGATCTGATGATGCAGCCTCCCCTCCACATCAGAGCGATCGCTCCGTAATCCAGCTCCCAATTGTGGACCTTGGCAGCTTCTCGTAGGAGCATGAATCCCTAGAAAGTGCATACAGAATGAGGCGATAAACTTATGGCGATCTTGATGAATATGAGAGGGTGTTCCATAATAGGCGAGAACAGAAATTGCTAGAAAAAATATCATGTGTGAAAAGGCACAGAATTATTTTCTGAATTTCTTATACCATCCAGGAAGAGCATGAATCTCTAGGAAGTGCATACAAAATGAGGCGATACACCTATAGCATTCTTGATAAATAAGGATATTACAGGGCAAGGGCAGTAAATGTTAGAAACAATACCAGATCATTCATCAGTATGTCCAAAATAAATTCCCAAAGAATGCTCCTCTTCGAGAAGTCAACGGAAAATCTTCAGCATTCCGTTCACTAAGATGCGTTCAGAGAATCTCATTTAACTTATATTTAATTTAGTCCATTCCTTATGGAAAAAAGACCTGTTAAATAAAATTAAATATAAATGAATATCTATGAACAGACCATAAATTTCAAAGTGATTATCGAGTCCCGATCTTACCTGCGCATAAGACACGATCTTGGCAGCATACAGCGCCTGCTTGAGGTCATCTAGGAACTTCTTCTTGTCTCCGCCGAACTTGCTCGTCGGCCCGGGCAGCCTCTTGCTGGCGATCTCCCTCTCGCTCTTCAAGGCCGAAAGGCACCGGCTGAAGACCGCCTCCCCGATTAGGGTGACGGGCACGCCGTAATTGAGCGCCGAGATGGCCGTCCATTTGCCGGTGCCCTTTTGGCCCGCCGTGTCACGGATTTTGGGCAGGAGGTGTTTTCCTTGAGGGAAAATTGAGAGTTGGCCAGGGTAATTCAAGCATCTTTTTTGTTTCAACAAATTTTGAACTTACCATCATTATCTTTATATCGCAGAATGTCTCTGGTTATTTCAATCAGGAAACTGTCTAATTCTCCCTTGTTCCACTGTTCAAAAGTGTCTGCCATTTCATCTTGATCAACTCCAATGGCACTCATCAAATGGTAAACCTACAGAATGGCGTATAGATAGCCCGGCAGATAGTGATAGATTTTCGGACGAGATTTCACTCAGTATGCCGTTTGCAGGGTATCATTCTGCATATATTTTGGTGTTAAAAAATTATACATGAAAGAATTCTGCCAGGTTCTTCATGCATTGAAGCATGTTTTCAAGGTTTAGGTGTACTTGGACATACGCAAACGGTATGCCATTTTTTCTGTAGCACATGTGTGTTTTGTTTGTTTATGTTTATTATTTACTAAAATTTAGTACTTGTCGATCGATCGAAGGAAGAATACTGATTGTATTAGTATTAGTGTCGCATCAATAAATAAATGATCTTGCTTCCCGGTCGATTTATTTACTAACAATATGGATATGAATATGGGGCTGGAACACAGACAGCTTGAGTGAAATCGTATCAAAACAATTAATTTGCGAACAAATAATGTTAATTGACTTTAATGCATGTAGAATCCGGGAGGAATTCTAATATCATGTATCATTTTTTAACATGAAAAAATATACATAATATAAATTATAACCTAACCTGCAAATGGCATACTGAGTGAAATCACTTCCAAAAATCTGTCACTACCTGCCGATCCAAGACACGTTGATATACATATCACTATTCTGTGACTTTTATCATTCATTATTAGTTGAATCATTTTTTATTCTGAATAGACACTTCATCGTTTCAGTAAATTTTACAATGAACTTCAACTTTCTGAGTGAATTGAAACTTAATTTGAAAACGAAGTTGGTGTAAAAAATCTTTCTGATGACTATTCAACTTAATTTGAATAAGTTCTCAGAGTTCTTTACAAAAATTAAAATCATCAACTATTAATTATGACAATTCCCGATTCAACCACTAGTTGAGTATTACCTTGGATGATAATAAGTAGACTAATAATGTATGTGTAAATAAGGAATTATTAGGCAAAACTATAAACAATTCATTCATATATGTAAACATTTCACAGACCATTAGGTTTTCACTCTTTGTGAAATCTTTTTAAATCTATCCAAACTCTATATACCAAGTAATAGTAGACAACTGAAATTTCAGTCCCACCAGTTGGCATTACTAAAACGTGAGGTCAATGTCGAAGTCAAAAATGCTGTGACTTGAACAAATAGAAAACCTCAAGTTATGGAAAGACTAGAGCAGACTTGCGTTGTTTTAATCTGAATATGGAACTTTATGACCAATTCTTGCATTGACGAAGAAGAAGATATCATAGGAAGAGGCAAAATGACAAGGGAAAAAAAAGAAGTATATTTAGGAGTTTCACCAACTTTGACCTCACGTTTCAGTAGCGCATTTTCGTGGACAATAAATAATGTCAGCCCTCATTATGTCAAAGTCAATTTGAAGTAAAGAAAACGATTTTTTTTTCAATATATTATACATTTTCATGGATATTCCTTAGAAGTTTGATTTTTTGACAACATCGTATTCATATACGACTTTTTACACTTTTCACTTACATTATTGATAATTTGATGATTCTTTTGTTAAATAATTTGTTCTACATAATAGGAATTTCCTTTAGTGCGTTCCAAGAACTGAACAAAAAAATTGTTCCACAGAAGCAAAAAAAATCTATCTCTGTGGAGTAATGAGAAAACTCAATATTTTCCATTGAAACTTGGTTAATTTATGTTGTTCAAACTTCAAAACATCCTGCTCACAAACCTCGCCGATGAGCTGCATGTCTCCGTACTCAATGCCGTTGTGCACCATCTTGACGAAATGCCCGGCCCCGTCATTGCCCACCCAGTCGCAACAAGGCTGCCCATCGGCCTTGGCCGAGATGCTCTGGAAGATGTCCTTGATGAAAGGCCACGCTTCCTTGTTGCCGCCCGGCATCAGGCTGGGGCCGTACCTGGCGCCCTCTTCCCCGCCTGCACCACAAACGAGAGATAATTCGCGATAGAAAATAACTATGATAAACACCGCGATTCATCCATAATTTTGTCGTAGCCGTTAGATTTTGATTGATTACACAATTACAACTATTAAGTCTGCTCACCGTGATGAGTTGATTACAATGTAATTTAAATACGTTTCTAGCAATGGGAATCCGATATCAGAAGAGGGATATAAAAGCCTTTGCCCAGTGTTTCGAAAAAGTGAGAAAATCAGTTCACTGAGGACCTTTGGATTACGGGTACGGGACATTACGCAGTTCAACAGGTAACTGCCGATGCGATGCCCGAAGCGTCGTGCTTTTAGCCAATGAGAAAAAAATAATGTATGGCACTTTTATAGATTTATTCTAAGATTTGCAATGTGCAAACTGGCGTCAAATCATCTCTATATAATGTGGTAATGGGTTTTAGTGTGACAGACGCGAGAAAGTAGGTATACGGCGAGGTAGGTACCTACATATGGTTAGCAGATGGTCCATGAATCTTGAGTTCTCAAGTAACTTTGAAAGCATATACATTGCTGGTATAATTATTCGTGTTCATATTGATTTTAGAAGACTATTGATAAAATGTTTCAATTTTTTTGGGTTTCCAAGAATGTCTAAATGTTTGTGGATAGCTGCCTTATCTGTGAAGCATCTAGAGTCTTCAATTTCAGTTGCATTCAATACCAAAAATTGTTAAACCTTGGAATGAGGTTCTCTATCATTAACAATTATATACGTACAATCCTAAACGTCAAACACGGATACATGAATGAAATCGTGAATGGTGGGGATAAATGTGCGAAACCATTGATATTCTTCTTCCGCCTTGGCAGGGATGCTCTGGAAGATGTCCCTGATGAAGGGCCACCTGGCATCAGGCCGAGGCCGTACCTGGCGCCCTCTTCTCCGCCTAAACCAAAAAACGAGAGACGATGGAAATGCAAATGACACTTCCAAAGCCGGTCGCAAGAATTCAAACAATCATGACTTCCGCTGCGGTCGCATTTTCAGACCAATTAGAACGATTCTGGCTATGGCGGTATATTCGAATCTCTATTTTTCCTACATCCTTACTGTGCTTTGATGTACAACAAACCTATTTTTTTTAACACCAATAATACAATATGCGAATTGAATACCGGCTATTGTTCATTTTAACACAGATTTTCATTATGAAACGAATTTTCGGCCTATAGGAAGGTATATATGTACTTGGGAATAATCAAGTGGTCTATGTTTCTACATACTTGTTTGAGTTGTTTGACATTTATATCCATCACAACAGGCAATTTATGGATTGGGGGCGTTGGAATATGTTGAAATATCAATAGTAGGAAATGAATTGGCCATAGAAAAAATAGTATATGCAACGATCATGTAATGGCTATTAATACAGGAGCACAAGGTAGGTTACGATAGGAACCGAAGGCACGTAAAAAAGTGATTAGTCCGTTAATTATGTATGACTACTCTTTGAACAAGATAATATAACATTCATTATGCTATTTTTCATTTTGAGCTCCCTGTTTGAATACATTGTATAAACAAATAATATATTAAATTGAGTTTCATTTGTTTTACTTGCTAATAAATTGGAGTGACCATTATGTTTCTACAAATCAAGCAGGGATGATTCTGACCCATTTACTATATATTGTGAGAATACAGATAATAAAATACTGCCATGCTAAGCAATACCCTAGTTGTGACTAACAATTAAGTCTTTACCTTTTGTTCATTGAAATCAGGCTATAGTGGTATTCTATATTGGTAAACCTATATATCTATTATAAATGATTATTTTAAATTTCAATTGGAAACTTATCTTATCAGATATGTTAAAGATCTTGAAAAATTTATAGATGGTAAAGTTTATGAGCAAGAATATCAAATTTGCTGTTATATTGTTGTATGAATCCTTTGGTGAAATGAAATTCCAATTCAGCTCTAACTCATTACAATTTTCATCTCTTGTTCACATGTCATATATCAGAAAAAACAGCAATATTCACAATAGAAAATAAGCGTGCGCCACCTATCGGAGTTTTTGAAAGCTGTGGAAGTGGTCTGTTCACTTTTCCTTTATTGGATCACATTTGTTTTTTGTTTGCAAACCACTCACAATTGTTCAAATGTGGCAGTCAGGTGGAGCAACCTGTTATTTTCTATTGCCAATACAGGCATTTCCATTTTTCAATGGAACAATAATTTTAATTTTTTTAGGGATCTGTTTAATTGAGTCTTCATGAAGAAATAAATTGATGATGGGACAGAATTCACTTCTGTCATATTCTGATTTGCAAGTCCTCAGAATTATTAGATACATACCTATATATTAAAATTTTCAGTTGCAAGTCATAATTCTGTCCCACCTGGTACTCAAGCCATAATATTCTGACCTATAGTACAAAACTGTTGGCTCTGTAGAGCTATTATAATAAATCTCAAATTCACATCCATGTCAGAATTTAACTTTTTTGCAAAATCATCCTGGCTGGCTTATCAGAAATCTGACTTGTAACTCAGGATTCTGACATGCATCCCAGATAATTCTGACATATAACTGAAACTGGAATCTATCAACTTCTATGAGCTGTCATCATGAATTGTTTCCAGTTTGAATGAGGTCATTACCTGACACACCAGCCCCTACAAACCGGATATTCTTCACAGCCAATTCCTTGGTTCTCCTCTCACTATCCTGGTACTCAGAATTACCCCCATCAATGATGATATCTCCTGCCTCCAAATGGGGCACCAGCTGACCTATAAAGTTATCAACAGCCTCTCCAGCTTTCACCAACATCATGACCCTTCTGGGACTCTTTAGTTTCGAAACCAAATCTTGGATAGATTCAGCTCCAATGATGCTTTTGCCCTTGGCTTCATTGGCGAGGAAGTTATGGACCTTTTCAACAGATCTGTTGAAAGCTACAACTGTGAAGCCATGGTCAGCCATGTTGAGGATCAGGTTTTGGCCCATTACAGCCAGACCAATGAGGCCAATATCTCCTTTTCTGGAATTTGAAATTAGTAGTCTGATCATTATATAGCACTTTCAGAAACGTTTGATAACATGAATAAAATACTCTTCTGGAAATATCTAAGTAACATTGGATTCCCCAATATTTCCCCCACTATGGTAGTGTGATAAGACATAATGACTGTGCAAATCTGAAAAATTATGAATCAAAAAGATTCTTTTGATCCCGAAGTTAAGATTCTCTACACAGAAATGATTGTATCCCCAACACTGCAAAGAATATAGAAGATAAACCCAGACACAGCTTACCCAGACATGATAACCTGTTGATCCAGAAATTTTGAGGTTACGATGAAAAGTTGCCTGTTGTCGCGGTCGGCCACTCTCTGACTACAGAATGTAATGAACTGATGAATATACTGAGATTACAGAATAGAAAACAATATTCCTATTTTATCAGCAGTTTCACCGCACCGTAACCATTTGATTATCGCGATATTATACTTCTCCTTTGAAGTATGAACAGCACTAGGTCACTTTGAGAATTTGGAGGTCATCAGGTTTGATGACTTTCAAATTTAATTAATTCATTATTCATTTTCGGGAGACAGGCGATTTCATTTTCCATACGAAAATTAACGGGACTTGAAAATTCAAAACTGAATGTCAAAACGTTCAAGGATCTACATCTTTGATACATATATTTTAAAATAATATAATGACACTATTTTATTTTAAAAAATCCAATTCAAATCCTAATGGTTCCATCTAAAGTAATCAAATAGAATCTCAAATATCAATCATTCGTTCACAATGCAGAAGGCTTCTTCTTGTGTTCTCGGTTTTGTGAAATCTGGACTTCGCTTAACAGAAACCTTCTTTGCTAATTTGCCGATAAGAATATGATATAACAGAAACCTATAGAAGTTACGAAATCTCACCGGACAAGGAAACGATGAGAACTTCACATGAAACCGATAGAAGGCGTTGGGTTCTAACAGGTCACCATCAGTAGTAGATCTATGTGCTATAGTGACTCAGAGAGTCTCAGAGATTATAGGTGAATATACAAACTCTGAGTCACTCTATCTATACATATACCAAACTATAATCCGATACTTTGTCTTATGGGCATACACAGGAATTTTTTGTAACGGTTTATTCTCCAAAAGTTCAAAAAAAATTCCAATACCTACCTCCTGTCCCTATTCTCCTTAGGAACGCATGATGTTCTTTTAACATTATAGGATTCCCTTTCGTGCGCTCCAAGCGATAAAAAAAAAAAGATGAAGCAATCCAAGGATTTCAAAATTGAAATAATTTTTTTTCGGTTCAAAGTTAATTTCAAGGGAATAAAAATAATCAAATAGCTATATATACCTAGCAACCTTTAGGTGCTTCCATGTGGTTGAATAAATAGGATAAGTGTTTGAAACTTGTAAGAGAATTAAATTTCTAGTGATTTTAATATTTTTTAATCGTCATTTATCTCACTTTGTAGCCATCAGATGATCTAATCCTGACTATCATGATCATGTCTGGTATATTATTCGAATTCTTGGAAGAATTTTTATACACGCTGACTTGAAGAATGCAAGTTTTCAAAAATTTTAACGTTTGTAAAAAACACCGTACTATATGAGATATTGTTTTAAAAATTGATATGGAATTATTTGTGGCTAATCCGAATCGATTGCCACTATCAAAATTTCAGAAGCAAAATGTCTAATCCGTTTTCTTCAATTTTGCTGGAGTTTTTGTGATCGCAGTAGTAGTATATGTGTAAAAGCGTTATAAACTCTTCTATATAGACACACTTAGTTTCTATATAGACACTAACCCTTCAAAATCTTCACACCAATCATGACTTAATAAAATCCCCTCAAAACATATCTTATTATGAGTAGAAATGCTTACGAAAGCTCCGTATGCGATAAACAGTTCTAGAGATATTCGCAGAAAACGATTTTTTTTTCAAATTTCAACACCCTGTATCTCGAAAATGGTGCATATTAGAGGGCCATTAATCTAAGGCTGGTAAGTCATCACTCATGGCTCACCCTATATAGGATCCGAAATAGCTACATGGACAGAGGAAGCCAAAAGGGAGATAAATGCTTCTCTCTCTCCAGCCCTCTTGTTGGAATCTTTAGATGAGCTTCTAGACATTTCAGAGATACGTTGATAGATAACCCTTCTCTTAGGTATTGATTGATTGATTGATTGATTAATAGCAGAATGATCAGTCAGGGTTTGAAGCCCAAAACACTGCAGCCTTTGGGCCTATTGTATTCCTGATCATGCTGTTGACTTAGGTGAACAGGTTCGCTACCTTGATGAGGTTTAGCAGCCTCTTCACCAGATCATTCTTTGAAAATGCCTCTTGAGAGTTTACTGCTCCCAGAAGGTTGTATCTCCAACGCGCTAGTGCTTCGCACTCCAATATTACATGGGTGGCAGTTTCCTCCTCCTCATTGCATAGTCTGCATATGGGTTCGTCTGTATGGATGCCCATTTGATGCATATGTTTCCTCAAGGGGCAGTGACCGGTTATTAGTCCCGTCACTTGTTTGATCTGACTTCTGTTTAGGCTCAGAATGTCGTTAGTCACTGTTCTGGACAGTGTTCCAACCATCAGTTTATTGTTTCTTTGTCCTGGGACATTGTTCCAGTATGCCTGATGTCTTTCTTGCATCCACCTTGCCAGTCAGCCGCGTATTGAGGTTTTGGGGATACCGAACACAGGTTCCGGCCCCATAAACAACGTCGCAGACCCTTGCCGGGCAAGAGCGTCAGCTGCTTCATTGCCTTCAATTCCCTTATGCCCTGGCACCCATTGAAGAGTTACCTTGTTGTGATTAGCCAGGGTTAGCAGGCTTTGAAGGCAATCCCAGACCAATTTTGATCTGATTTTATTGCATGTTAGAGATTGAATGGCCGCCTGACTATCTGAGCATATGAGGATTTGTTCACCTCTGTATCCTCTTACGATATTCTCTCTCAGGCATGCCTCAATAGCATGCACCTCTGCCTGGAATACTGAAGCATACCTCCCCAAGGAAGCACACATCCTGGTTCTGGGTCTATCTCCATATATTCCAACTCCCGTGCCCTCATCAGTCTTAGAACCGTCAGTGTACCACACTAACGTGCCTTCCTGACATTTAGTCAAGACCCTTTCATCCCAGTAGAGCTGAGTGTTGAAGGGTCTGTAATAGTTATTTCTTCTCTTAGGTAAGTCTAAGTACCTACCTATGGATTTCTTGGTTAAAGAAATAGTAGATAAAAACAAAACTGAATTTTTGTGCTAAGTTAAAAAGAATACTAGTATAGGTAAATAGCTGATCGAGTAACTACCAAGCATCTACCTACTTTTAATTATATAATATCATATATAAATATCGCTTCGGTGACTTCGGATTCCGTAAGAAAAAAACAGTTGCGACCCGACAAAACGAAATTTATGCCCCTCATTAAGTGTGTTATATGCATCGCGAATGGCGATTATCCTTATGTTATTAAAAATCGCATATTAATGAGAACAAGCAAAAAACTACAATACATACGATAAATGAGTAACAATAACAATTATTAGTGTAAGTACACGGTATTTAAGGTGATACGATAATTGGTAGAAAAAGCTAGTTATTGTGCGCATATTGGGGGCGTTATCAGGAACTACACAGTTACAAGCACAATAATTATTTTTCGAGAAGGCTGGTTTTATTTATTACATCAACAGGCTAATTCGCATCGTGAATAGTTTGGTGTAGTGTTTCCCACGAGTATAGCCAACCATTCTAGAAATCTATAACACGGTAAGATATAAGTTAGTAAACAATGATTCTATAAATATTAATAGCCAAAAAGTGCACTGATCTATTCAATAATACTTCCAAAAGGTCTCCATCAAGCAGCAACATTTTCAATATAACGTTTCGTTATAATGCATAATTGATCTGAGCAGGATGCCAAACACTTGCATTTATTATAAATTTATCCGTATATATATTGAGACATCAGAGACCTTCCCAGATGCGATGAAAGTAGGAAGAACTATTCCATTATTTAAAAAGGAAGGAAGGCCACTGTTGTGTGTATTTTATTTTATGTCTTTTTTCAGGCTTTTGCCTGAATTCAGACTCATACTACACAAGTACTCACCATATATACTGGGTGTAGTCATTGAAGTTTGAAATGTCACTTATATGGTATCATTTGATTCAGAAAACGATGCAAAATTTGAAAATGCAATGATATACAGGATTTTCCATTCGAAATTCGAAAGTTATTACCACTTCCGGTGGGACACCCTGTATAATCAGAAAGAGAGAGAGAGAGAGAGAGAATATGCTTTATTGTCTAAAGATGTAGGTAAAATCTCATTGACAAAGTAAGTAAAAAAAATAACCTTGAAATAAATATCAAGACTAGAACAAGAAGAAATCGCTACTATAACACCACAACATTTTAAAATCTATTTGAACACTTTTATAAGCTAGTTCATAATGGACACATTACAACATATTAAAATATTCCAAATAAAAATGGTTTTATGGTTAAAATGTATCATCAAAAAACTCTTGTAAACTATAATAGGGTTTATCCGAAAAGAGTGCTTTTTATTCTATGTTTGAAATTTTTATTGGATCCAACTTCCTTGGTGTCTTTTGGCAAATGATTGAACATCTTACAGCCTACATAAATTATTGAATCTCTAGCTAGAGCCGATGATGGAATTGGTAATTTAATGTTACCTGCTTGTCGGGTGGCATGGTGTGCAGAGATAGTGTAAAATTTTCCTAGATGTTTTTTAATTAAGCACACCGTTTCTATGACAAAGATCGCATAAACTGTCAAAATTCTGTGTTTAATGAAGATAGGTTTGCAGGGGTCACCATTTTTTCTCTGCACATATATCTTACTGCGCGTTTTTGCAATATAAAAACTGAGTTTATGAGATGATCATTACACACCGCCCAGAATGGAATTCCATACCTTAAATGAGATTCAACTAAGGAGTGGTAAACAACCTTAGAAGAAGAAAATCCTAATTCATTTGATGTGAGTCTCACCGCATAACATCGAGAAGACAATTTTTGATTCAAAATTTTAATATTTTCGTCAAATTTCAATCTGAAATCTATTCGAATGCCTAGAAATTTTTTATTATTGGTGTTTTCTATGACGTCATCACCCATGACTAGCTCGTTTAATTCACCTTCAAATGACATCATATTAGTTTTTGTCAAATTCAACACCAACTGATTTGAATCACACCATTTTTTAACCTCAGACATGTCATCCTTGATAATATCAAGAAGTGTTTCGGCATTTTCATTATGCCAGAAAATACTCGTATCATCCGCGAACAGCGTTATTTTTCCTGAAATGTTAGCTCTGGCTAAATCATTTATGTATAGTAAAAAAAGCGTTGGTCCGAGTATAGACCCCTGAGGCACACCATATTCTACAGTCGACTCATTGGAGTATGTTGTGGTTTTCACATCAATCAAAATCATTTTCCTGGCATGCGCCCTATGATACAATTGAAGTCTGCAAAATAAAAATATCAAAATCATATTTCAACTGATAACTGAGCTATATAGAAGAAAGAAAGAACTGCGAGTCCATTTATCTTCCATTCGACTTCGCGGTTACGTAGGTATATTACTAAACAACCACTAAATTCGCAATTTTTTTAAATCAAATCACAGAATTAGACTGACAGAAGTGACATCAGATATTTCATTACTTCAAAAGAATAATAAAGATGCCTACAACGCAGGTGTCCCTATACTGTAAAAAACGACGATAATTTTCATATTTCAAAATAATGTAATATCTTCTCAATATTGATTAGTCCTTTCTTATGCCACAGAAAAAAATAGTGTATACACGGGAAAAATATTAGATTTTAGCTCACGGTTTTTCGTCTCCCTCCGCGTCGGGAGACAACACAACCTGGAGCTAAAATCAACTACTTTTTTCCCTTGTATAATAAATAACTATTGCTGATGTTGAAGGACCATAATGTCAATAAATATCCCAGCTGGTGAGCCTGTGGAACCATAATAATATTATTATACCCATATTCGAATATTAGCTGACAATTTCCAATTTCAATATCTCTCAACACAAAGTGTAGTTTTGATTGACGCACCCTGTATAATTGAAGAAGCTACCGTGTTAGCGGAACATGTCGTGTGACTTAGATTTTTGTGAAGTATTTTACATTTACTATGGATCTCCATCTTGAAACGTCCGAGTCAATGACAAAGAAAACCTTATGATCCCTAAATATTGAATATATGCAATAGGTACTTTGTGTTTGAATATTATTATTGTGTATACTTACTTCTGCCTCAACTAATGTATATTTTTATAGAGACAACATTATTGATAAGTTGGAATTAATTAGTTTTCTATATTTTATCTATAAAAGCTAGACGCATATTTATAGGGCGATTAAACAAATAATAATTGGGGAACTGTACTAATTATGGCGCGTCATTAATTGATATAACACTATCATAGGATAGCAATTATTTTTCTGAGCAGTTGAATTTATTATAAACGTATAGGCCAATTTCGATAGTTTAGTCTTAGTCATTGTTTTGTAGAATAAACTTGATGGTATACTTCTACACACATAATTTTTCTAAACTCATAGTCTCTACTTATATTAGGTAAGAACATTTCTTGTAGAATAGTAAATAATACTATAAAGTACCTATCTAAAAACACTTTTATACGAATTCATATTCTCAGAAAATAAAGCAACAATTAATATTATCTTTCTTGGAGAAATTTCAACCTATTTTCTGTAGAGAAAATCTAGGTGAAAAATTGATTGGTTATGCGGAGTTCTAAAAGGGGTGAGCAGAAAATTCAAAATTGTAGACTGGGCATTGAAGAGAGAGAGTGATTTCGAGGGTCTGTATGTTAAAATAAAGATAAAAAAAAATGAAATTGCTCTTTTTGCGGTCTATATTTTCCTCCGAAATCAACTGTTGAAAATTATATTGAATTTGCTAACTTTTACCAGCAGGTAGTCGATGATAACAGAAATGTGTACGTCACTGGTGACTTTAATCTACCTAACCGTTGGAAATCAGTTGTCACTTTCAACAACTTCGTTCATTGTTGAAAACATTTTGATGAATTCATCAACATTTTCTTGATACCTTCACTACTATTACTTTCCATCTTGTTGTCAATGGTATTAGTTGTCAATCTGCAAGCTTCCATCAAAGAAACAACTGGAAGTCCTATATAAAATTGAAATAACAAAACTATCTGGAATGCCAAGATATCTTTAATTGAATCATATTTTTCCTGTTGTATTTTCATCAAGAACAAATAGTTTTCGGATGTATGATGCATTGATATTCATCATACAGGACGTGGAAAGAAATTCTGAATTGAGAAAACCTAATCAAAACGTGAAAGAACTATAGACTTTCATAAATGAACTTTTGCTTGAGAATCTGGAAAAGAAATCAATATATCGCCTTCCGTACGAACATGGTGATCTGAATTTAGAGAAGTATACTCTGGTAATTTTTCTTTGTGGATCGTTTCTTCGGTTCGGCTTGTCGGATCTGCGACTAAACATCACATATCAAATATCGAATCATATGAATCAAAATCGATTATTATTGGATGCGGTTCTAAGATGTTCAATTAGAAACTTACCTGAATATTTTCTGCAACGTTCGTAGTTGGATTGCAACAAATAAGTTTTGTTTCCGAATAGAAGTTTCCTCAGTAGACTTCATCTACATCTCCACATTTCGTGGGTTATAATCAAGAGCTGGAATGCCAAACACTGTGCTGCTCGGATCTAAAATAAAACTAAGTATTAATTTGAAATTTGTATCGTGAGACGAACATGGAATGAAGAGTCTGGATATTGTTTTCAACATTCGTAACTGGAATGCGATATATTTTCGTAATTCATTAATTAATCAACTATCTCAATGAATACGAGGCAGGCAGATAAGCAACAATTTTCTCTGCGATGAAAAACACTGTATATACCTAACCCATCTAGCGCCTACCTCCTTTGCAGAGAGGGTTTATGAACGCAAAGTTGGTACTCTCCCCTCGTAAGGGTACCTGTCGTGTTTCCATAGAGACATAAAGGTGAATATCTGTCTATCTGTTTGCTTGAGAATCTGAAAAAAAAAACAATATATCGCCTTCCGTACGAACATGGTTGTCTGAATTTAAAGAAGTATACTCTGACCATTTTTCTTTGTGGATCGTTCCTTCGGTTCGGCTTGACTGGATGGTTTTTCGGATTTTGTTTCAAGTATCAAACACTGTGCTTCTCGGATCTGCAACTAAACATCACATATCAAATATGGATGTTGAATTAGAAGCTTACCTGAATATTTTTGCACCGTTTGTAGTTGGATTGCAACATATAAGTTTTGTTTCCGAATAGAAGTTTTCTCAGTAGACTTCATCCACATTTCCACATAACGTGGTATATAATCAAGACCTGGAATGCCAAACACTGTGCTGCTCGGATCTAAAACGGAGTATCAGTCTGAAGTTTGATTCGTGAGACGAACATGGAATGAAGAGTCTGCATATTGTTTTCAACATTCGTAACTGGCGCTCATCGTAAAGACAGGGAACCTGGACGAGGAAAAAAATCCAAAAATGTGATAAGGTGCCCTCTAGTGAGCATATTCGATGTTTCAAATTCCAGAAATATACCTAGCAAAAGAAAGGAGGAATGAGGTTATACCAAGACTCTGTGTCAGTATATCACTCATAATAAAATAATGAAAATAACACTCACCAGTGTGAAAACAAAATGAATTTGTATTAAATAGTCCACTCCTGCTATTTCATTGTTTGAAATTTTTTGATTTCCACATCAGGAAACACCAAAACAACACATGATCGCGATTATGTAATCACTGATTCGAATGAGAAACACAAAAACACGATACTATCACTTATTTTTTAGTGAACACTCTGTTTGGAATGATTATTAATTCCTCGATTACTTCCTTTCGCGTATTTTTCAATGCCTGTATTGCCTGTCACAAAATTCGACCGTACCTGATGACATCTAATATGAGACTGTCTTGATTTACCACTGTCCCGAATGAATGACTAATAAGTTGAATAACTAACCGATTAATTTCCGAACAAATGATTCATCTATGACCGACTCTATGACTAATGATGATAATGAAATTATACGGGGGAAAAATATATACAGGGTGTTTGGTTCACCGACGTATATCTGGGTGGTAAGTGATGTGATTCTGAAAATATTTAAACATATTTTCTGTTATACAAAGTGTTAGATTTCTAAAGAAATCATCGCTGTAATAAATACGAAGTTGTATGTTACAGAAACTCGTTTTCAAAATTCTGACGAGCCATCACATTTGTATTCCATTACTTGTTCATTATCTATGAAAATCGTATTCAACTCTTGAAAAAGAAGAAATTACAATCAGATGACATGTTCGACCAAACGGAGATATCTCAAAGTTCGTAACACTTTGTATAATATTTTATATGGTTAAATATATTCGAAATATTCTTACCCATCAGTCCCTTTCAGATATACGTCGGTGAACCAAACACCTTGTATAGTATACGAAATACTAGGGAGAGTGGTGGATTTTTTTGGAAAATCTCCCAAGATATTATGAAAGAATTCGCCGCAGGTTGAAAAAATATATTTTACAAAAATCTCTCGTGATATGAAAGAATGAACCATCAACCGTCTCGACATAGCATCCGTTCGATTCATCTAATAAATAAGACGATTTCCATAAGAGGGCGTTACGTATTAGCTTTCAGCGCGCCATTTTTTCCCGCCCTGCAGCGCTCTGCATTACCCGCATTGGTCGAACGCGTCGAATGGGCGGGAAATCGAATGAAATATCTGCGTGTTTACGTTCGTTCGCATCCAGAGGTGCGTTCAAGGAGTGGGCTAAGGGGTTTCTACTAGAATACGTACTATATTTTTCACTAAATTCCGAAACATTTGTATATGCATTAATCATATCTTCCACTATAAGTCACCACCGTGGTATATTATTCATAATTTCGTTGTTCGATAACGACAAAAATCATTGACAACAAGGAACGGTTTCAAAATTATTTATCCCGCCCTGCATCATGTTAATGATAGTTGAATTTCTGAAAATTATTTCAGTAGAACCGTAATCCAGATGTCACTGCGTTTAAAGACTTTTCCTATCTGAGATCCTAAAAGAAAAATTGACTAGCTTGTCAGTTACAATTTGTATTGAAAAAAGTTGATTAAATTTTATACTATAGCCTGAGTCTTACTCATTAATATCGATTATTATACTAAGTATACACAGCCATTTCTCTAACCTAAGAACTTTTTGATATCTATGTTTGATATTTCTCCAGATTATCAATTTTTATGACCAAAACCAACCAAAACTGTTATAATCTTGGAGTTCGAATAGATCTCCTTAGATTATTTTGTTAGATATCTATACACTTAACTATCAACGGAACAATCTCGGAAACAATGTTGGTGCCAAAATTGATCATTGTGATGAAACGCCATAATTGATGGCTTCGGTATCAGAGGACAAAATGTTGAAATAATTTGTGAACCATGAGTTCAACGTAAAAAAATATCAATATAAAATGTAACATTTTGGATTATAGCAAACAGGAACATGTAGAGACCATGATATCCCAAACTAACAGTTTTCGTTATGAAAATAAAAATTGCAGTCTCATCATTTTTGCCGCGTATATTGATTGCTTCTTCAGTAATTTCATTATCTGCAGTTCAGTACTCTGTGGACACACGTGAAAGGCATAATGGTGGATGGCAGCCATGTTTTTACCCTTCTCAGTGTACTTAAAGATCTTTCAATACTACAGATGATGGTGAGAGGCATTGATAGAAACATTTTAATGGCATGAGATGTAGCTGGAAAAAACTAACATTCCTTCAGTGCTCCATGGAATTCCATATTATCATTATAACTATTGCTACTCTGTCTCCAGAATTCCATTCGTCTTCAAAATTTTTAATATCGTAGGTTTCAGAGATATTTTTTCATTCTGATGGGTCCTTTAAGATTTTTGAGGTGTAAACGCGATATCTTTAGAGAAGCAGATTTTCAGGGAAGATATCTGGAGTCCATATATCGAATGAAAAAAGAAATTCTGAAGTGATTTTCCGCAGAAGCCCTATAAATATTTGTTCTATTGACCTGACGTTTCGCTAAACGGATTTGCTTGATATTTCTACTCCAGAATCATCGGCAATTTCCATAGATTTTGTGAAAATACTCTTAAAACATTCATTAGCAATGTTGCCAATTCCATTTAGAAACGATGAACTTCATATTTCTTATAAACATGTCTTCTATTGATAACAATTATGATCGAAATCCTCAAAGTGCATTTCCAGGCGAGGACTTTCGTCCATGTCAATGTTCATGGCTTTCTCCATCACTTTGGGAATATCTAATATCAGCGCGATACGTCTATATAGTTGTTGGCTAGGTTTTTCTTATATTCCTATAGATCGCATATGGAAAAAACACCATCAGACTTGGTACTTTATCAATAACCACATGCAATAAAAACATTCTGAAATTTTAACATTTTGTCACTCACCATTCTCACCAACTAGATTGCATTTTGCTATATTATG